ATCCAGACTTGTACAGACTGATCCAGATTCTGGAAAATGATCCCCAGGTCTTTTGGGACCTTTGGCAGAATTTTTCTGACCCTTTCCAGAAATTTCCGGGCTCTTTCCAGACGTTTCCAGAGAATTCCAGACATTATCCAGACTTATCCAGAGCTTTCCAGAGTTTTCCAAACTTCATCCAGATTAATCCAGACTTTATTCAGACTTGTTCAGACTGATACGGATTCTGGTAAATGATCCTCAGGTCTTTTGGGACCTTTTTCAGAATTTTTCCAACCCTTTCCAGAAATTTCCAAGTCTTTTCCAGACGTTTCCAGACTTTTCCAGACAATATCCAGACTTATCCAGAGTTTTACAGACTTAATCCAGATTTATCCAGACCTTATCCAGACTTGTACAGACTGATCCGGATTCTGGAGAATGATCCCCAGGTCTTTTGGGACCTTTGGCAGAATTTTTCCGACCCTTTCCAGAAATTTCCAGGCTCTTTCCAGACGTTTCCAGAGATTTCCAGACTTTTCCAGACTTCATCCAGATTTATCCAGACATTTTCCAGACTTGTTCCAGCTCACTTGGCTTGTTCCAGGTTCTTGTTGTGTGTTAATATAAGCGTGTTAAAAAAGTGTCATGTCGCTTTTTCGTTTCATCGAGTCTCACATCACTCCCAACGATTCTAAAGAAGTTTTCACTTCAAAATTAATGTTTTGATTTAAAAAAATAAAGTTAGCGGTCACAACTTGTTTCTGGGTCACCCTGTATACATGATATTACCATCAGAAAAACGGCAACTGAAATCAAAAATCGATGTGTCCGAGGTTTTCATGAGCAATCTCACCAATGTTTATTATTTTTCTAGGTTTTCTGGAAGTTCTTTATGTAATAAACGAATAAACATCATCTCTCTCACCCTCGTAACTACGCCACCTCACTTTTTTTTTGTGTAAACATTTCAAGTATCTATTTTGCTGTATTTGTATAGGTAAATTTTATTATCTTTGTAATATATTTTTGTGTTTCCGCACATTTTATTCTCCACATTCTTATTTGTTAAATAAAAAGCACAATGTAAATTATAAAACTATTATTATAACTGTATACTTTTTAATTTAGATTAAATATGATAGGTGTATTAGTTTTGCCTCTACAAAAGCCCATAGGATTTATTATTCACATTCCATGCAATTTGATCACACCCTTCCGTTATCTCGGAAATATTTGCCGTAACGTCGTCTATCACGGTCCTACTTTGAACTCGGCGACAAAGAATTAATTTCGCGCGCTTGAATTTGTTGTTGGCCTCTTCCCTCGTTTATTCAAGATCCAGTTTTTTCTAATTTTCATGAAAAATCCAAATGGCATAATATTATTTTTGTATTGCTGTGCTTAAAGAGCAAAAAAATATCTACATTTTGGCGCAAACCGCAATTCAATATCTGCATTCGTTTTCAAGTTACGTAAGGTCTATGGTCTCCATAATATACCTGGCCGACCTTAGTGGGACACCCTGTATACAGGTTGGTCCCAAATATCATGTACGAACGAAAGGGGGTGATTCTTTGGTTTATATTATGATTAAAATTTTTAATAAACATAGGTCCGCAAACGCTTCGTTACCGATCTACAGGATGTTGAAATTTTAATATTTTTTTAGTTTTTTCTCAATAGCTCCTGCAATTTTTAAGGAATTTAGCTCAAATTTGGAATATAAGTTACGCAATAAGAGCTGAATGATTGCACATGTCAAACGTTTGCCATAATCTACAGGGTGATGTTTTTTCAGGGGTCATGCCTTCTTTTCTGCCCCTGAACTTTTTTGTGGTGCGCCGCTGGTCGATTCTAAGAAACAGAATAAGTTTTCTACCTTATTTAGAAACTTTTTGTTCTCTTGACCCTTATCGAGAAAAAAATTAAAAAACAAATCTCTGTAATTAGCTAGATGAAACTAAAGTGATTCAATAAACCTTTTTTCCCTACAATGGCGACAATAGAGGTCCCGCAGCCATATTCTTGCTCATTTTGAGTAGGAATCTAGAGGTAAGACACCTCTCACTGCCATATTCTTGCTCATTTTCAATATGAATACATTAAAATTTCAACACCCTGTAGATAGGAAACAAAGCATTTGCTGACCTATGTTTATTAGAAATTTTAGTCATAAAATAAACCAAAGAATCACCCCTTCCGTTTGTACATGATATTTAGGAACACCCTGTATATTATACAACATCGGTCTCCCATTTGGAAGAATAGCGATAAATGTAGCCGGTGAGAGGGTGGTAACAAAATACATCTTGGTAATTATTCATGGATTACTTCAGTAAATGCCCAGAAGTTTACGCTATTTTCAATCAAGAAGCCATCGCTATTGCTAGTGGACGAAGTTTTCAGTCATCATGGTGTGTCACTAGAGTTGCATTCAGATCAGAGACGAAACTTCGATTCTGCCATCTTTAAGAAAATTTTTGAGATCATGGGTATTCGTAAGACAAGGACAACACCTCTACATCCACAGTGTGGTGGCATGGTAGAACGATTTAATAAGACCATAGAGGAACACCTGACAAAAGTGGTCACAAAGAACCAGCGAGATTGGGACAAACACTTGCCTCTATTTTCAGTTAGTAGTTTTAAGTTTTAAGATTAATTGTGATATAATGTAAATAGTGATTACTGTTTAGAGTTGTAAGGAGTTTAGTTATTTGAGGTAATTTGTGAACTAATTAGTGTCAGAGTAAATAGTAACGAGGAATACATTATTGTTGTATTATTGGACTTTGATTTTGGAATAAACGGACCCAAGATTTATGTCATGCACCCCAGAGCCGTGAAAATACGGTACAAACATTGAAAGGACTGTGTAATGTGAAATACATAGTTAGCGGAGGAATATGTTACATTTATAACTCAATATTATTTAATTTATTAAAATACGATTCATTGACGTAAAAATTATGCAGTAACCAGTTCCTGTTTTTTTGCTGTGTAGGTACCTGGTTTTTTTTTGCTGTTTTTCTCGTTTTTTGCCTGTTTATTTTTTTTTCTTACTTTTGGACATTTTTTTTTTTCAAGCCGGTCTATAGTTGAGTCGAGTGGCTTTTCCTGATGGTGCTTTGGGATTATATTTTGTCTTCAATATCAAATTGAATTAATCATTTTCCCTTTCTGTGTATTTTTTGTTCAGTCCTGTACATTTCACTCATCCTCTGTAGTTGGTTTGTATGGTTGATCGTCTATACATGGTTTTACCACTTTCTTGGTTACACATTCTTCAGCTCTACCTGTTCAGAGTACCTAGCCACAAAAGTTGATGTTTTCACTGAAATAATGTTTGGTTTGTGTGCGTCAAAGCAGTTTCGGCGAAATTGCTGGAGGCCGATACAAATTAGTCTTCTTTTTTTTTAAATTTATAGCTTTATTTACTTAGGAGTTAATAAATACTTATGGCCTGTGACGCCATAGCTCAAAAAAACTCGCCGCGAACATCACTTACCGAGTATTACATCCTTATCACGTGAATTTATAAATGAAAAACGAAAAGGTCCCAGCACTTAACAAAAGAGCTGTGGGTAGGTCAGATTACCATTCCTCAATGAGATAGACATAACTGGTTCATTATCTTGATGAGCGGAAAAAAAAACCACCTGCATTCTCACTTGGGAGCCAAAAAATAATTATGTACTTAATGTTTTTAACTAGTGATGTCGCGAGACGAGACGAGATGAGACGAGAATACGCTCTGTCTCGTATTGTTTTGAAGGTTGAAGAAGAAGAATAAGAAGAAAATAAATCTCTCGTCTCGACGAGAGAGCCTCGTGATGAGACAGAGAGCTCTTCTCTCGGATTTTTTTTCAAATACAAGGAATCGCACCTTGATGTTAGGGACCCAACTTGGGAAACACCCTGTATATTTAAACAAATAATTTATTTTTTTAGAAATTTATTACAGAGTTATAAAGGACATTTACATTATTATAAGGCCGCACTGGGAATATTTTGCAAAAAGAGAGAAGAAGACAGCAAGTACCATAGCGATAGGGATAATGATCTCTATCTGCTACAAAATCCCAGCCCGGATTTAGCAAAATAGAAAGCTCTTCCCTATTTGAGATTTAAGAAATATCTCAAATTTCACTCAGACAAAGAATCGAAGTATCTCTGAATACTACAAATTTTTCTCAAAAGTTAAATGTGTTTTTTTCTACAGCACAACACAGTTTGATTTCCAAATACTTTTAATCTTCACAGCAAGAAATCTGGAATTACTTGATAATGAATCGACTAAAATATGGCCAAATATGGATTATAATAAAACAAAATTGTGGAACCAACATGAAAAAGACACTAGCACAAGTTAAAATAGAACAAGTATATTTTTACCTACGTAGAACAAATTATAAAACCGAATAAACAAAATCAGATCAAATAAGTGAAAGTAAGGAGTAGGTTGGTTTGGGTAGTGATGCCACGAGACGAGATCAGACGAGATTACGCTCACTCGTCTTGTATCGAAGGTTCGAGAGAAAATGAGTCTATCGTCTCGTCTCGTTTTCTCTCGCCTCTCATCAGTTTTGACGCATAGTAAGTTAATTTTAAATCCGAGGTAAAGAAAATGCAAAAAAGTATTCTCGCTGCTTCACTAAAATGTATAAAAATGATGTAATATTAATTACCCATAATACTCAAGGCACAAGGATCTGGAAAATATTGGACAAAAGACAAAGGGTTCGGGACGGCAGTATAGCCTATTTTAATTACATGAAAACAGTTTCAGTAAATTTATATTGTTCGAAAAAGCGAGAGAACTCGAGAAATTGTCCACAAGACACAGCATTTTCTCGTGTCGCCTCGAAGTGACTTTTCTAGAGAAAATTTGTCTCTCGTCTCGTCGAGATTAGCATCTCTGGTCTCGGCGGCATCACTAGGTTTGGACATCATAAATAATAAGAAATTCTTCCAATGTATACTCTATGTCAAGCATGGAAAAATTACCCCAATTCACAGTAGTTTTAATAGGTATGCAATAGAATTTTATTCATGTTAAAAATCATAGTTGTTATAATTTAGCAAAAAATAATCTGAAATTTATTTCATTTCCATTCAGATGTCCAGAAGCAGATCGTTGATAAGCAGTAGAAAAAACCCATAGAGCCTCACGTGGTCCTCCTTTGTAGGGTCCAATCTAAAAATGAATAATCTTTATTTCAAGGACACCTTGAATATTACAAACACTTTAAGTAGGTATTTCAAAAACATAGTGTTTGTTATTTCAAAAAGAATGCAGGTACCTATTACCTTTAATCCACTTGGAAATTGCATTGTTTCTTTATCATTTGCAATAATATGAAAATTTTTATTAGTGTATTCAGTTCTTGGATCCCATTTCACTATTTGAACATCAATTAATAAAGAAAAATATACAAAACCATGTTTATCAATGGCTTCTATACATGCTTGTTGATTTCTCCTACCCTTGTACGTCTAAAAGCATAAGTTTTTGAATTTTTGCAGATAATTGTTTTTTTTTTTTTACTTTGAATAACCGTGGGGACCCGTAAGGAACTCGAAAATTGTTTGAGTTTTTGAGATGCCTTGTGTACACCCAAGATTCTTTTATATTAGACATGGAGTGGTAATATAATTTTCGATTTCCAGATTGTTTTGGAGTTAGGGCAACTGTTAAAATACCATCTGCTACTTCAAAGGTATCTCCTAAAATATTTGGTTAAAGAAAAAGTTATTTGAAAGTCCAAAGTGTACCATCAATAGTATATGTATTATAATTCGGATCGGGCTCGAAACTTTTGTCCTGTATCCTCCACGATTTATTTTGCTTCAAACTGTAAACCAACAGGCTTGGTGCTACAGAGTCAGCGACATAAACCCACGTATTTTCGCATTTATTTTTGAAATCTTCAATTTCAGCGGTAGGTGCAATAAACGACGATACATTCTGGTACTGCTCGTAAGGAACTTCGTATTTGTAGAGTAGTTTATCCTAGAAATAATCAGCAATTATTATTGATTGTAGTTCTAAGAGCGTCCGTATAGAGTAAGTAACTTGCTGCTATTTATGCAGCAAAAAATAGTAGATTATACCACGAGTCAATAATGATAGCTGTTATTCCCGAGGAAATTTTCGAACTGAGCCGCAGCAGCGACGAGGGAGTAACATTCCGAGGGAATAATAGCCATTATTGCGAGTAGTATACTCTACTTTATTTACGACAAATTGATTTATTTGAGATTTTTAATATCAAATTTCATCCATCTCAATACAAATCCACAAGCACTACACGTTTGACATTGACACTTTTGAGGAATAATGACCATTAATCCCGCTGCTCGTCATTATTCCTTGGGGCTGAAATTAGTCGGAAATAATAGTAGATTATACCACGAGTCAATAATGATAGCTATTATTCCCGAGGATTATTACGAACTGAGCCGCGTTAGCGGCGAGGGAGTAACATTCCGAGGGAATAATAGCCATTATTGCGAGTAGTATACTCTACTTTATTTACGATAAATTAATTTATTTGAAATTTTCTTTCCAAAAACGCTCTTTGTTCATCCATCTCAATACAAATACATAAGCACTACGCGTTTGACACTGACACTGAATTTGTTCTATACTGTTTCCATGGTACTACCTACTTATTTAATTTGAAAAATGTTGTGATTGGTGTGCAAGCGGGATTAATGACCATTAATCCCTGCGGGAATAATAGATGTCATTAAACTGCCAAAATCACAAATACAATACTTACATTATAGGTCAGTCGTAAATAATAGTAGATTATACCACGAGTCAATAATGATAGCTATTATTCCCGAGGATTATTACGAACTGAGCCGCGTTAGCGGCGAGGGAGTAACATTCCGAGGGAATAATAGGCATTATTGCGAGTAGTATACTCTACTTTATTTACGACAAATTAATTTATTTGAGATTATCAATGAACAAATTTCACATGTCTCATAATTTTCAATACAAATCCACAAGCACTACACGTTTGACACTGACACTTTTGTGGAATAATGACCATTAATCCCGCTACGCGTCATTAATCCCTGGAGGAATAACAAATGTCATTATACTGCCAAAATCGCACATATAATACGCACATTATACATTAGTCGTAAATAAAAATTATTAATTTACCGTTTTCAAGTCAAAAGCCAAAAGTTGAGGAGGGCAAGTAGAATCGGATCCTATATATCCATCGTCCATTACCCAAAGTCTGTTACACTCATCTGCCTAAAAATTGTCGATAGTTGTGTAGGTTAGTTAATTGAATATACATATTTGATACTACTGATAATACATAACTACAACCAAGAAATATCTTGAGTTTATTCAGTTCAAACCGAAAAATAGGTACATCGAGGAAAGATTTGTCCACCTACTGGGCTATTCGGATAACGACTACTCAGAATTTGTTGTATTGGAACGAATTGTTCTTAGATGATCTACAAGCTACAAGAATTCATTTAGATTAGGTAGCTGATTTAAGAAAAAATCGTGCCTTATCTAAAAGGTCTTGGCTACTTAGATTCAAATTGAAAAACTCCATTCATCTGGGCTGTTCTGGAACGATTCCTGCGATATTTAGATTAGGTTTTCAAAATTGAATCATATCAAAACTTTCAGCCCCACTATTTATTGCATAGCATAGATGTTAACTTTTATTTATTCAAAATCCATCTTACCCACACTCTGAAACCTGAAACAATTCTGTGATAGTTGCATTGTTCTGGATTCAAATGCCAGGACCAAGAAGGATAAGGATCAATAATTGGATTTCCATCTCTAACTTCGTCAGTGACTATTCCCAGGGCAGCTGGAACACCGTTTGCTATTCTTGGGGTGGTTATGAAAACCCTCTCGCGACCTGTTTGAGCTGGAAATGAAATAGTTGAAATCATCATGAAAGTTTTATTTGACCAATTTTTACCATCGTGAACATATTGAGCATCGATTGGTTGTATTCTTCCTGCATCAAATGTACCATTTGCAATTGCCGCAGATCGTTCCTCTTCGCTTGCAAACTTATACTCGATTTGCTTCCATTCATATACAATTTTAAAGTCGTATTTTGTGTGGCCACTACAGCCCATTGCTTGAATCAACAGAAGGGCAGTTACAGAATAAAATATTTCGCCTACTAGAAAAAATAAATAAAAATATAATATCTTATGTATAAATCCAATCGATGGATATATTTATAAAACTTACACATTTCTATTCTTTTCAAGTGGGTAGACTATTATGGTTTGGATGTGCCTACTTACTAGGTAGGTATGAAATGCAGGAAAATTCTAAGCTATTGGAGTATTTATCAACGAAAGGCAATTTGCGACAATCTGAAGTCAAACTGCACGATAGTAGGTACTTACATTTAAGTAAATATACATTTTCGCACGTTTTTTTTTCATGTTATTCGCCTTAAATTATTTATGTTCTGCTTAATTGGCATTTTATCTAAGTACGGTTTGAAAAATAAACATATTCCTATGAAAAATAACAATTTCCTATTAAAACACATTTATTTTTAATTGAACATTCAACTAAATCTTCAACTGGTGATTAGTTTTTTAGAATGTAACGGGTACCTACCAATTTTTCCGATAATGTTTAAATGATTGATTTGAAAGGGGTGTCTCTACAGACAGCACGTAGAGGCACGAGTGGTCAATTTTGCTATCCGCCTCCTGTTGCAGCCCTGTTTTACCGAGCTCGCAACTTTTAAGATAGGTGCAGACCCGCTCAGGCCGGACCTACTTTATTTCATCAGGTTCCAGAAAATTGTACCACAGATATCGTAGTTTGGGACTGCCGAAACCGTCACATTCACAAACTATATGCTTGGTAGTTTCATGTAGGTACTTCGCTGCAGAACCTGCATTCCATTTCATTACTGAGTCCGATTTTGTACAGTTTGTAGTCCTGACCACCCAGTGCCCCTTCAGGACGTCTGGGATGGCTCTTAGCTGGCTCCTGTTTAGTTTTAGAAGGCTTTTCACCTCTTTGCAGTTTGCAGGATCTATACAGATCCTTGACTGTCTGAGGCATCCCTGTTCCAGCTATTCTCCTTGGAACCGGTTGTTGGACCAGTTCCTGATCTTAGTTTTCACCATGCAGGAAGCAATCTCAATAAAGGCAGTGCTGCTACCTTCACGAGACTTTTATTCCCCTGTGACCCAGGACCAAAACAAGAGTGACCTTTGTAATCTTTTGTATTTGATTATGATTTTTATTAAAACCCGAAAGTTTATAATACGAATAGTATCTTTAATGGTACGTAGAAATTAACAACTATTCCAAAAACCCACGCCAAATTGTCATCTTTTTGATACACTCATGATGGCAAGGTGTTGCCACCCTAAAAATACATACATCACACGCCCTATTTTAACAAAACTAAACTAAAATCAGTTTTGGCAATGATGATGATTTGAATCTTTACAGATGTCTCTTTGGTGGGTGAATTATTCGTCCACTTCTGGTCTTCACAATATGTTCATCGTTCATCCGAGCCTCCACTTGAGTCTCCAATGATCTTGTGGGAATAGCTGGTCGATCTTCACAATCTGATGTACTATTCAGCTTTTTTAACCTTTGGATCATGATGAAAAGCAGTTGATTCTGGGAAGTGGTCTTTTACCTCAGACTGTCGCAAAGGTTTAAGAAGTTGCCTATTACGCGTATACTCGGCCTCGTTCACTTTCACTGTATAATCACTCGGGCCATTTTCTAACATAACTTTTCCTGGAGTCCATGATCTTTTCCCCTCTTGCAGCAAAATCTTATCACCAACTTTAAAATTTGATGGATGGTTCTTTCGACCAAACCGTTGCTTCGGGGATATAAAGGGCTGGAAATTGTCAGCGTTATGTCATTTTTTCGCAAAACTCGAAAACTCTTTAGAAGTGTACAGTGCACGGTGGTCCATTGTCCGAAAAAATTTCAAATGGAATTCCATTTATTGCAAAAACGTTTTTAAGGTTCGAAATAACACTGTTGGCGGTTTCACTAGAGAGTTTATTAACTACGGTAAATTTTGAAAAGTAGTCCACTAAAACTAGAAAATCCTGTGATTTTACCTTCATGAAGTCAATACCGACTTTTTACGGAAAATCTGGTATTCTATGTGGAGTTAGAGGTTCGCGCACATTACTTCTAGAGTATGATTGACAGATAAGACAATTTAACACCATTTTTTCAGTGTCACTTGGGTAATAAATTGCTTCTTGGGCTTTCTTCTTATACGACACTACACGCTGATGTGACTGATGAATAATTTCTAGAAATTCTGATTTAAGGGCTGCGGGAATAATAAGTCTTCTATGATAAAACAGAACGTCTTTGTGAAGGTAGATGTCATTCCTGATTTGCCAAAATTTTTTAACTTCACTGTGCATGGAATTTTTCATTTCAAATTCTGGACCTAAAACAAAAGAAAAATCTCCGTCACGAATCCGTGACGGTCAGCACTATACGATAAAATTGTTGTCCAGTGCGCCTGGCACAGATCCATGCCACATGTCAAAAATGACAAAAATATATTAGATTTACATAAACAAAGACATATAATTACATTTCTTTAAGCAAGAAATTTTTTTTCCTAAAAAAAAGCTTCCCGCTCCTGGGTGTCCGATGCTATACCTACCTCAGTCGCAGCGAAAGTGTCAAAACATAAAACTTTACCTTCTGTAGTACTGGGTCCCGTTCGATTTCATTTTGGAGTCTCTCTTCATTTTGTTTTGAAGTTGATACCTACTATTAAATATACTCTCAAATTATTTTCCAAATAGTCAGTGTTAATATTTGTAATAACAGGGTCCCTACCTAAAGTATCAGGGACTTTAAGATTTTTTCCAGGAACGTACTTAGGAGAAAACTGAAATCTCATCAATCGTATAGTGAATCTTTGCAGTCTGGGAGACATCTCGTCTAAAGGTTTTTTTAGGAGTCCTAAGAGGTCGGTGATCTGTTTGCGCTCAGTGTCGGACTGGCCCACCGGGCAACCGGGCAAAATCCCGGTGGGCCAGGTGAGGTCTTCGGCAAAAGGGCCATTCGAAAATTTATAAAAATAAATTAAAATATCCCACTCCTCACGCCATTGATCATCAACTCATACGTTATTATTTCGCGTAATCCACCGTCCTTATAAAAAATCAACTATATCATCAATATCAACTCCATACTGCTCTGGAGTTCAAGGAGTCGCGTAGAAATCGCCCGCCGCATATAAGTGAATTTGAATTCAACTGACGTACCCGTTGTTGATTTTTAGAAATACAGAGACAGAGTAGTGAATTTGTGAAAAAAGCCACATTTTCACATTGGTTTTTATTTGTTTGTTTTTATATACAGGGAGTCCCACCCCGATTTATTGAATTTGGGATGAGAATCTGGAAAAACGCTCGGACACGTCGATTTTTGATTTGAAGAGGAACTATTTTCCAGTTTTTTTCATCCCCGTAGCTTCAACCCCCTAGGAAGGGGTAGAACAACTCCCCAAATTTGGATAGAGGATAGAGGTCGTGTCATATCTCTTTGCATAGATCTTATGATTTTCTTTATGCTCCTAGAATTTCAGTAGTGTAGGCGCTGTTTTTGAACTAAATACACACATCAAAATAGTCTAGGGAACAAGATGCAACTGAATACATTTATAAATTGAACAAAATATACTTTTAAAATTTTTTTAAATTTTGTTAAAGCCTGCTGGAAAAGCCGATATGATAAATTTTACAAGATTTGTTCAACAAATACCCATATATCTTTTTAAAAAAAGTTATTCTGTTTAAAAATTAAAAGACGAATATTTCTTGTTCCCTAGACTTTTTTGATGAGTGTAGTTTGTATTTATACAAGGTGACCCAAAGATATCACATGACACTTCAATTTTTTAAATAAAATGCCCTGTATATTCTGATGAATATCGATAGAGTGAAGATTCATCTCGATGCGTTTATTAGTGACGTCATTCGGATTATATGGATCCCGAGTCGGGACTCTAGTCACAACGAAAATTAAAACTGACGTTTATGCTTAAATTTTGAATGAATTTATCCGTTATTTACCTATTTTACGGCCACACTGTATATCCTGTTGTTTTTTTTGTGTTACCTACTCCTAACTTTTATGATAATTTATATACAACTACAAACTACATACTACGTCGGTTAATAACAACAAAATATAAGCAGGTAGGTGAAGTAAACCTTAACCTATGGTTGAACCAAATCCAAGGGGCAGTAAATGACATAACTGGTAATTTTTATTATGTCATACCAGTACATTATTGTGTTTTTATACCTTAGATACCATCTATATAATTCATTACTTTATGCCCGTGCGGGCATAAAGTACACATTATGGCCCGCGCGGGCATAAAGTACACATTATGGCCCGCGCAGGCATGACATAAAAGTTTGTATGCACCACGGGTACTAATAGATATATACCCTCGGGCAACTTACGAACCCTCGGGCCAGAGGCCCTCGGCTTTGTAAGACTGTCGCCCTCGGGGCATAATCATCTACTTAGTACCCTTGATACATAAATAACTATTACAACCTATCAAATGCCCTCCGTGCATGCGCACTAGCCCAGGTAGGGCGTTTCAACCAATTATGCATTCCAACGACCTGTCAAAAAGTGCGTTGTGGCGGAAGTTCATTAACCCATATATGAGAGTGTGTAATTTAAAGCTTTTTAAAGTGCATTTTGTGGTTGTTTTGTGAATGAACTCTGTTTATTTTTTTATTTTATTGACTTCATTAGTGTTTCTTCCAATTAAAAATGCCACAAACGGGTCTTGAAGTTGATTGTGTAAGTAGTTTCAACAAGATAACAAGGATGATGTCAGGCTTTTTTCATTGCCCTTTGTTTTAAAATTTTCCAATTAAAACGTGAACATTTTCACTACCACTGTTCCTGCATCTGGAATTGCATTGCCATTTTCGAAATATTCGTAAGAATCTAAGCTTTTGTAGGCCTTCATTTGCTCATTAATGTGAACTGTGGATCAAAATGTCATCTGGACATTTTTTTAAACTAACCGTTCGCACAGATCGCGATTTTCCTGCATTCTAGTCTTTAAATATTCACTCTGCATCTCAAAAAGTATATTATAACAAAACAAACTGTAATTAGCTTGAAAATATTCCAAATAAACTCAAGATAAACAAACAAACGTCAAATTTTTCACGGTCGCCATATTGAAAAATCACGTGGTTTGGAAGGCCGGTGTTTGTTCACAATTTAGGTTATTTAATGTCATTTACTGCCGCTTGGATTTGGAAATGGTTTAGGTACCTAATTTTTTTATACCTTTAATACAAAGTAGGTACCAGATTCAACAAATGATTATCAATAGTAATATAACTAGTGCAATGGAAATTATTGATAATTTTTGGGAAATTTGCCCGAATGCATTTTTAGTTGAAAAAGCATGAGTGCAAATTTGTCGAAAATTATAAATATATTTCCATTGCACGAGTTGTATTTGATGAGAGAATTTCATAAATCAAAAATTTAAATTTTTTGTCAAAAAATGTCAAAACACCAGTTTTCACACCAGTTACTATGCAATTATCTGATAATTTGCACTAGTGCAAATTATCGCGTAATTGCAATTTGGTTCAAATCAACAATCAAAACATGTCAGTTCATTGTTGAAATACCAGTTTTGGCAGATGTATGAAATTCTCAATAGTAATATAACTAGTGCAATGGAAATTATTAATAATTTTTGGGAAATTTGCCCGAATGCATTTAGTGCACGAGTGCCTTTTCAGTTAAAAACGCATGAGTGCAAATTTGTCGAAAATTATAAATATATTTCCATTGCACGAGTTGTATTTAATGAGAGAATTTCATAAATCAAAAATTTAAATTTTTTGTCAAAAAATGTCAAAACACCAGTTTTCGCACCAGTTAGTATGCAATTATCTGATAATTTGCACTAGTGCAAATTATCGCGTAATTACAATCTGAATGGTTCAAATCAACAATCAAAACATGTCAATTTATTGTTGGAATACCAGTTTTGATTGACAGATGTATGAAATTCTCAAAATTATTTTTATTGAATGGGATTTGGGTTCGGTGGGCCACTTCACCATTTGCCCGGTGGGCCAAATGACCCCCAGTCCGACACTGTTTCCGCTTCAAAGCTTGTACCATACAAGTAAGAATGAAAATTTTCACAGCCAAAAACAAACGCCAAAAGCTCTTTTTCGATATGGTTGTAACGTTTTTGGGCAGGTGTTAATGAAACCGATGCAAACTCAATGGGACATCCGTCTTGAGAAATCATGGCTCCCAAGCCATAGCTGCTGGCATCTACAGAAAGGACTGTCTTTTTCTTAGGGTCAAAATAATGCAAAGTCGCTGCTGACGACACAAGATGCTTAATTTTGTCAAAACATGCCTGTTCGTTAGCAGTCCAGATCCATTTATTTCTATCATTGAGCAATTTTCTCAGAACACTTGTTTCATTAGAAAAGTTAGGAATATATTTTGATAAGTAGACTACCATTCCTAGGAAACATTATTGTAAGTCTTTGCGAGTTTGTGGGGCTGACATGTTTTTAATAGCCTCAGTTTTGTCATAATCTTGGGATATTCCAATATCATTCATTTGATGGCCCAGAAATTTAATCTGTTGTACACAAAATTTGGACTTTTCCCTGTTTAGTGTTAAACCACTTTTCTCAATCCTATCCAATATTGATTTTAAGTTTTCATTATGTTCAGCAACAGTGACCAAAATATCATCAAAATAGGCAATTTGTCCTGGTATGTTTTCTAACAGTTCGTTCATTCAAAATTTCAGGCGCACATAAGACACCATAGGGTAGTCTCAAATAAGGAAAACTTCCACAAGGAGTTGTAAATGTACCTACACAAAAGTGAGCTTGGATGATCAAGAGGCAACTGAAGAAAGGCATATGATGCATCAAATAAGGAGAAATAGTTAGCACCTGCTAGTTTCGAAAACAGTGTCTTGGATAGGTATCGGAAATCTTTCACGTTTAATATATTTGTTTAGATACACAGGGTCCATACATATTCTTATGTCAGCATTATTGTTTTTTGAAACCACTACAATGAGATTCTGCCAATCAGTAGGTTCCCTCACAGGTACAATAATATTATCGCGCACCATATCGTTAATTTTTTTTTTGTCTCTTAATGCAAGAGGAATCTTTCGAGTCCCACAAAAGGCAATGCATCATTAGTTAAACTGATTTTAAAAAGTTTATCTAACTTCCCGACTCCACAAAAAAATATTTTTCTACTACCGTGCGTAAAGTACTCACTTTACGCACTATTCAGAAGATGTAAAATTTGACTTCACGCACTAGTGCGTAAAGTAATTCACTTCACACACTAGTGCGTAAAGTTATGTCAATGACAGATGTCAACACTGTCAATTTAGCATTTTTCTGGTTAATTACTTCACGCACTAGTGCGTAAAGTATTTGGCTAAATCGATGTTTTTAGACATTATTTGATAGGTAGTAGAAAAAATTTTGTATGCAATACGTGCGTAAAGCACCTTTAGGTTCACTTTACACACTTGTTGCATAAATAACTATTTTGTAGCATTCTAAAATGTCCTGCAGCTCAGGTCTTACAACACTAACCGTTCTATTAAAACTTGAGCTATGACCATGTAAAATTAGGTACTATATTGAAACTTTGAGCAGCTAATAACCCTAAAATAGACTTTGAGATATTGGTGTTCAAAATGTTAAAAAGCAAATTTTTCGTTACACTCTTGTATTGACAGTTAAGTACAATTTGTCCAATAATGTCTATTTTATGTCCCGTAGCACTTGAGAGATTGCCAGAGGCAGTATGTAAGTCACTGAAGTCAACATTTAATTTCAGAAAGTCACCATGATTAAGTATATTTACTTGGCTACCAGTGTCCACTTTAAGATTTATATTAACACCATTGTTTGTTTTAATTGTCTCAAACCATTCTATAGAATCCACACAAGAAGAATTATTGTTATTTATTATTATCCAGATAACCTGAGTATCATGTGATTCATCATCAGAGTCATCATTTATTTCATGCACGGAGTTTTTATTTGGACAAAATGACGGTAATATCCTTTCTGGTAACATAATGACCAATATCTAAAAAATGCATGACACTGACCCCTATCATGTTGAAGCCCACACTTTTTGCAAGGAAACTGTTTACCTTTTTGCTGCTGTTGACCCGAGTTTTGGCCCCTATTTGACCCCACTTGATAGAATTTTCCTCGGAAGTTAAAGCCGCTGCTTCCACGTACATCTGCTGTATATCCTTCAGAGAACTAGACTAAATCACGATAGAATGTGAAGTTGACAGTTCGCGTTGACATTTTTAGTAAACTTTTTCTTTAGGTTGTCAGCATGCGTTAGCGCTTCGATTCCGTCAGCTGGGATAAACGACAGGGTCGTATTTAGGAAAGTGATATTCATTTCAGAATAACAATTTATTTTCAATTTCTTTAAAGTAAGTTAAGTTATTAAAGTCCAAAAATCCTAAAATTAGAGTCCAAAGTAAACACTTATAATAAGAGTAAACACTTAAATCCAAACTAAAACCAGGTTTGAAACGCAACACCGAAACACAAAGGCACAGAACACTACATAAACAACCAAAAAACCGATTGCGATAATAACAAATAAAAAATAATGCAGTAAACGGCAAAAAACTGAAAAATTTCACACAAAAATTCGAAATTCAAAATTCAAAGACCCGAATCTGTTATTTTTATGTGTCAAATCAAAATGTCATGTATCATTATTTGATAGTTGTCAGAAAAAGGGACAGATCTGGGGATTTTATTTATTTTCAACTGGTGAAAATAACGGTCAAAATTTAAACTCTCTCGTGAATACGACTATATCAGAATGTCTCTGTCTATCACCAAAACTTTTTTTGGCACTTACTTTTTTAGTATTCTCATGTTGAGTCACCATACTGCTCTCCATAGACCTGCACACATCGTTCATCCGGAAGAAGAGAGTTACATTTCAAAATTTTGCACTTTTGAGGTTTTTACATGAATCAACTGAAAATTATGGGTTTTTTCATTGGAAAGAAAGTTACATTGAAGCTTTGTTTTTCGGCCGAGAGATGGCAGATGTATCTTTTTGGAAATTACAGATCTTATGGAGCAGTTAAAAAGAAGACTGCGACATTTTAGTTTAGCTTTGTCATTCGTGGGTGATGTCTCGTCGAATCTCGCGAAAACCGTTACATTTTGTTTTGGTGCATCCAGTTTGCTTAACCCTGCTAGAGAAATCTGAGATATTAAGGTATGTATCAGTATATTTGCAAGAATAATTACTATTTAGGAATTTTGTTTCTCTTCTATAAAGTGATAAGTCAAAATGTAATGCTATTATTTTATAGCAAAAAAACAATATACAGGTATAGAACAAGGAACCAGGCCAATTCAAAAAAAAATTGAAATCATTGAGTCGGGAAATGCTCTGAAGGAAATAAATGAAAATAAAACAAAAGAGGACTATATTGGTAAAATTATTTTTATTTTTACTAAAGAGTAATAACATCTAATACACACAATTTTTTTCTAGAAGCTGAAAATCGCAAAGATACAGAAATAAGCTATGTGATAGAAAATTTCAATGAAGATGAGCTTAAAGATTCCCCTGACCCTAATATTTTAGATGAGTCAAATATTGTAGTTGGTATGTTTAATTTTGGTCTTTGAAAAATAATTAGCCAATAATAATAGTTCTTTTTCCTAGATAACGCGACTGAAAATAGAACAACCCAAAGCCCTGCCTCATCTTGCTCGACAAATGAAGGAAAAGAACAATATACAGGTATAGAACAAGGAACCACGCCAATTGAAAAAAAAATTGAAATCATTGAGTCGGAAAATGCTGTGAAGGAAATAAATGAAAATAAAACAAAAGAGGACTATATTGGTAAATTATTTTTATTTTTACTAGAGAGTAATAACATCTAAAGCCACAATTTTTTTCTAGAAGCTGAAAATCTCAAAGATTCAGAAATCAGCTATGTGATAGAAAATTTCAATGAAGATGAGCTTAAAGATTCCCCTAACCCCAATATATTAGATGAGTCAAATATTGTGGTTGGTATGTTTAATTTTGGTCTTTGAAAAATAATAAGCCAATAATAATAGTTCTTTTTCCTAGATAACGAGACTGAAAATAGAACAGCCCAAAGCTCTGCCTCATCTTCCTCGACAAGCTCGCCATCGTCATCTCGCTCATCTTCCTCGAGCAGTTCATCATCGTCATCCCGCTCATCTTCCTCAAGAAATTCATCGTCATCTCCCTCAATCGAAAGTGAGCCTTACGGTTCAGATGATAGCGTTCAAGACCCTACCTACAACACATCTTCAGATTCAGATACTGAAAACAGAGAGCCTCTTGAAATACAGGTTAAAAAAAAAAGAAAAATAAAATATCCGTGTACCAAGGAGCGAATTGGTAAGAAAAGAAAAGTGGACCCCAAAATTTGGCAAAAGAATTTAGCAAAAAAACTCAGAAACAGTGGAGAGGGTTATGTATCTCTGGGCCTAGTAAAAAATCAAGATGGTAGTAAGCACGTGGTAAAAAAACAACGTCCACCAAGAAGACTTTTACCTCCATGTGGTAATAAATGTAAGCTAAAATGTTCTGAAAAATTACTTCAAGACAAAAGAGCTAAGATATTCAAAGATTACTGGGAATTAGGTGATATCGAGAAGCAAAGAGAATTTATTTCTTCTAACATGAAAACTGTCGCACCAAAATACAAATATAGTAACGCTGAAAATCCTCGACAACCGAATAATGCTTACTATTTTGTAGTTGATGATAAAAACATACGTGTTTGCAAATTTTTTTTTATGGCGACTTTGTCAATAAACAATAGAGTAATACAAACTGTTATAATGAAACAGAAGCATTGCGAAAGTGGAAAAGTAGTAGCGAGTGACAAGCGGGGAAAACATGGGAATCACCACAAAGTTGACGAGGAAATAAAAAATGGTATAAGACATCACATCAAATCAATACCGCGAGTTGAAAGCCATTATTGCCGCTCACATTCAAAAAAAGAATACATAGAGGGAAATAAAACAATGGCAGACTTACATCGCGACTATAAGAAGTTGTGTGTAGACCAAAATACGGCAGCGGGAAATTACATTATGTATTGTAAAATTTTTAATGAAGAATTTAATATTACTTTCCACTTACCCAAAAAGGATCAGTGCGAAATATGTTTGCAATACAAAATTGGCAATGAAGAAGAGAAACAGGGATTAACAGAAAAGTATGAGAGACACATTATGGAAAAAGACTTAAGTAGGCTAGAAAAAGAAGGCGACAAAAATGGGGATGACTCTACAAAAGTAATAGTGTATGATTTGCAAGCAGTCCTACCTTGCCCTACTGGAGAAGCCTCTTCATTTTATTATGTTTCTAAGCTTAATGTTCTTAATTTTACTTTATACGACATAAAGAGCAATAAAGGTACATGTTATTTATGGCATGAAGGAGAGGCCCAGAGGGGAGCCAATGAAATTGGTAGTTGCATCCTTGACTTCCTACAAAAAATATCTGAGGAACGTAAAAGAACTGATGATGGGTTAAATATTATATTTTACTCGGATAATTGTGCCGGGCAAAATAAAAACAAATTTATCATTGCATTATACATGTTTGCCTTATTTTCGCTAAATATTAAATCTATAACCCATAAATTTTTTATTACTGGACATAGCCAAAGTGAGGGCGATAGCGTCCATGCAACCATTGAGAGAGAAATAAAAAAATTCAAAAAATCTAGTCCAATTTATGCCCCTGATCAGTATGCATGCATCATACGTACCGCAAAAAAAACTGGTACTCCATACACAGTACATGAACTTTGCCATAATGACTTTAAAGACCTTAAAGGCTTAGCTGCTAATCTCTTCATAAACATGCCAAAGAATTTAAAACTATCCGAGATACGAGTGCTTAAGCTGGACAGAGAAAATCCAAATTTTCTATTTTATAAGAATTCCTATGAGCAACAGGACTTTGAAAGAGCAGAGATTGTAAATGCCAGAAAAAAAGTAGACGTTGCAAAAGTGGAACTTAAACCGGCCTATATCAGAAAGCCGGGCATTTCAGAGGCAAAAAAAAATGGGTTGATTTCTTTAATAGAAAAAAAGAAATGCGTGCCAATGTTTTACCTAAACCTCTATAAAAATTTGTGAAACAATACCAACAATATTTAGAACTTGAAAAAGCCTTAAGAAGTTCAGTTTTTTTTTAAAATTATTTTTTTTATAAACATTATGAATGGAAATGCTTATGTTGTACTGTTTAATAAATTTATCAACAAAATTTCATAGTATTTTGATATTATTTCGTAATCTAACTCAATTATTCCCAGAAATTTAATGTTGCATAATAGCGGATTTGCAGAAAAAGGCCAATATTTTAAATTCAAGAAAGATATATCTGACGTTTTCTCTTTTAATTTACATTATTAAAACATTTCAGCCGCACAGTCATTTAGAGCAGTGATAGACATTTATTTCACCAAAAAATGGTTACCATGGTCCAACTAATAAAAAAGTTCGAGGTAATTAAATAACTAAAAATTTTAAAATGCTTCTCCTGAAAAAAGACGTTTTTTGAGTTGTAACGCTTTTCTTCTGGATGCACGACATGTATTGCTTGTTTGAGCTTTAAATCAGAACACTGGAGCAACTTTTCCTGGATTTTCGAGTCTCGAACACACAAAACTATTCTGTCCACTATTAAAGTATCTTTTTCTTTGAATTCACAGGTCATTGCCAATCGTTTCAGACCACATAGTTGCGAATTAATCAATGCTTTCATGGGGTAGCTGGTCTCGTTTGAAAAGTTTTAAAGTGTGCATATACCAGATTTTTCATGAGGCTACAGTATGCATCGAATTTTTCCACCACTTTTGAGTATTTTTTATCATCACCTTCATTTTCATATTCAAAAGTATTGATTATCTGAAGCCCTTCGTCACCCAAAGTGTTTAAAAAAAATGACAATCTCAGCTTTATCATCTTTGTTACCTTTACTAGTAGCTACCAAATATAAATCAAATTTCTCCAGAATGTCCAGTTATTGGCAATATTATTGCTCTCGAAGCTAAATGGTTCCGGTGCTCGTCCTTGTTCCGACATCTTGAGATATCTATTAATTAAACAATCTTACAAGTACGTGAAGCTTAAAGTGATCAGATCTTGAAAGTCCAAAAGCGGGACAAAGTCACAAAGTTCTAAGTTCTCAAAAATCTCGTTTTCATTTTCAGTGTTAGTTTTTTTGGCTACCTGGGTAGTGATAATATTATATTACAATACGAGACGGGAAATGCTTCATTGCTGATCGAGAGGTTATATAGTATCGAGACGCGTAGCGTCGAGATAAACTGTACCTCGAGACAGCAATGAAGTTTCCCGTCGAGGTTTGTATACTATTTTATTTTTAACCATAATTTCTTGGAAAAAAAATAAAAAATTCGCAATAACCAAATAAATGAGGTCGGGAAATGAGGACGGGGAATGAGGACGGGAAATATTTCCCTGCTCCATTTTCCGTTCGTGGACGGGAAATGAGGACGGAAAAAATTTCCCGTCCTCATTTCCCGTCCTGAGACAGGGAATGGACCAGGAAAATGAAAAGACAGAAATGTGACATTTTCAAATTTTTGAAAAGTCAGTAATGACAACATTTCATATATGGTTAAAAATAAATAAAATTACTTATGTTGTTAAACAAAATATGTAATGAGATACAAATTGCAAACTACAAAAAAATTCACAATCCTTCACAAAGATGCAACCGGTGAAAAACATTGAAAATGCTGAAACAGAGTTCAACGCTGATGCTTGTGACTATTGTGAGCTCTGATATCTGCGAAAGCTTATAGAATTGAATGTTATATTGAACGAAATAGTTTTTTAATTTGATTTAAAATAAATGGATAGGTGTATAAAAGTTGATAGTTGGAATTTATTGAAAGCGGAACAAAAGCGGGACGCTTATTAAATTGGGACTCTTAGCTCGAAATCGGGACTGTCCCGCCGGGACGGATGGTCACTTTAGTGAAGCTACAAATATTACCAATAATGTATATCAGTTCACAAGCTTGAGCACCACAATAAACGTGGGACTGAACCCAAAATTATTGCACTATTCGTCGCTTTTCCACTGCCACCATGTAATGTTTTGTATTTGATTATGATTTTTATTAAAACCCGAAAGTTTATAATACGAATAAAGTCTGTTTTTTTTTCAAAGATAAAAGTCAAAATGACATTATGTTGGCAATACAATGTCTAATTGTCAATGCTTTTAAATTTTTTATGTAGAAAAGGCTTGTGTTGCCAACATAGTTACTAAATTTTTAACTTGGGGAATTATCTTTTATATAAAAAACAAACTTTAGCATCTTTATTTACGACTGACATATAATGCAAGTATTATATATGTGATTTTGGCAGTATAATGCCATATATTATTCCCGCAGGGATTGATGGTCATTATTCCCGCTTGCACACCAATCACAAAATTTCTCAAATTAAATAAGTAGTAGTACCATGGAAATAATATACCTGAGCAAACACAAAAGTGTCGGTGTCAAACGCGTAGTGCTTGTGTATTTGTATTGAGATGGATGAACAAAGAGCGTTTTTGGAAAGGAAATTTCAAATAAATTAATTTGTCATAAATAAAGCAGAGTATACTACTCGCAATAATGGCTATTATTCCCTCGTAATGTTACTCCCTCGCCGCTAACGCGGGTCAGTTCGTAAATATTCCTCGGGAATAATAGCTATCATTATTGACTCGTGGTATAATCTACTATTAATGGTACGTTAGGAATTGACAACTATTCCAAAAACCCACCCCAAATTGTAATTTTTTTGATCGACTGGTGGCAAGGTGTTGCCACCTTAAAAATACATACATCACAACCTCTATGATCACAACCTTGTTGAGCCCACTGATAGCTTAGTTGTCATACACTCAAGCGTGAGCCTCGAGTTGACCTCGCCTGGGTAAAGTGCTCGGAGTGCTGCCTGACTGTCGCTGCATATATGAATATGTTTGCCTGAGTAACCTCTCTGGATATTCTCCTGAGCACGGCAAGATCTCAGTCTGGCCCGTTTGTGTAGCACATGTGCCCCTTCAGCTTAAGGAAGCCTGGGTCCAGTCGTCCCTTGCAGGGATGACGCCCTTGAATTCTCTAGGAGGGCTGAATTTTTTGGCATTGCATTTCGTCTGGTGAAAAGGGGGTCCTGTCTGATGGTGTCAGTCCAGGCTCTTGCATATGTCCCATATTCAACCCTCTGTGAACCCATTGTTCTCAATCGTTTAGTCTGACAGAAGCCTCCCGGGTCCCTGCTTCTATGAAGAGACGAAGAGGCATTACTCCCAGTATGGTCTCCATTGCTAGCATTGGTGTGATTTCAAGGACCATTGGAACTTATCCAGCTTTGCCCTATAGGTGGATTTGCCAAACGCATTCCACCAAACTTAGCTGCTTTACGTGATCATAGGCCTAACTCCTGTATAAAGCCAATGCACTATGTGGGATTGTAAGCCTTAGGTGCATGCGATGGATCTTCTGCAGGTTAGCAGTGGCCTTCTGGAAGACCTTGACGTGATCCATGATGATCCTTAGATATTTGATTGTACCAGATGGAGCAAGTCTCGATCCAAAAAGCGCGAGCCCTTTCAGGTCTCCGTTTCTGCGTTTTGTGAATGGTACTAACTTTGTCTTGTCAGGATTTACTGAAAGCCTGTGATTATTACACCATCTTTCGACCATGATAAGAGCTCTTTCCATTACCCTTTAATGGTGCTGGGTACCATACCAGCAAAGTCTCTACCAGCTTCAACGATGACAAGATCGTCCGCGTAGCCTTGAGTATACATATCTTCTGTTGCTGTTGCTGTTGGTGAAAATTATGTTTAAGTTGGTGCTGCGAAAAAACTGAAAGACAAAAGAGAAATGTGTCATGACAACAACAATAAATAGTGTGTGTCATTAATTTGTTAAAAATCTAGAGCAGCACATTTTTTAGCTCCGTTGTCTTTTTCCATATTAAAGAAGTTTATTGAAGCACACGGAAGTAAGAGTTGTTTTATTACTACCACAAGCTTCCTCAATATCTTCCCCGTTTAGAGTGCGGAGCAGCCCATCCAGCACTAAGCACCACAGCAGTTGATCTTTGCACTTATAGGATGTGTTAAATTGTATATGGATAATACTGGGCCAGCATATACAATCCGTGCATTCATCTTAAATTTATAGGAAAACATATACTTGAAAATTTAATTAATTATCAACACCTTCTTCCTTCATCATTGTGTTACCACTTGTCTGAGATAATTCACACTTTTTTAGACTATTTTGTCCACTTTAGGATTTCTTTGTTGATATTTGGAGGTACAAATTTTTAGCATGTTCTTGTTAAAAATCAATATAATCAATAACAGGAAGCTTTTGTTACATTTTCAATCGGCCAAAACCCAGATCGAGCGTCTGGCTACTACCGATGTGCCTGCAGAATTTTAATATTCAATTTATGCATAATGCTCCGAGATTTGTATACATATTTAAATCATTTATAGTGTATTAATATGCTTGTACCATATAGGTAGTATGGAAATTGTTTTTGAAAGGAAAAACCCGGCGTCTTACCAGCTAGGTACGACTTATTTCGCATAAACAATGGGTTACTTATACTGTAACTACATTAATAATATGAAATTTATTTTAGATAAAACCGGATTTCATAATTCCATTGTATAGTTCGATTTTATTGGAATAATAAAATATAAGTGTATATTTTTATATTTTTGTTTATATTAACAAAAAATAATGCAACCTTGGGAATGTTTTCTTGACGAATGAAAAAATATCTTAACTCAAGGGAACGTCTTCAAACTTTTCAGAATAACGTAAGTTTTTCTAACTGGTAAAGTATTCAAGCTTTAAATTTGGACAAATTTCCATAATCAATCTAGTCCATCATTATTTACAAAAAAAAACACACAGATTTTTCCTACTAGTATAATTTAACATTATTTGAACTTTATTGATCAGCTAGAAACAACTATTCCGGATTTGAATTATATTGAGTGGTTTGGGCTTTTGTTGGTAATGTAAAATTGTAACAAGTTTTTTCAGGTACCTACTAACTCAAAGTTTTCGTGATGTTTCCTAACCAGCCCTTTACGCATTTCGTCTCTGTTTGGACTTTGGACTTATCGGAACCATAGTGTTGTTGATCTTTTATAAAATACGAATGAGTGGTCATTCCAAAAACCCTGAAGGCTTTCTTTTTTTCGGCATTCCATCCATGTTCGACATTTAAGATCTCACCAGGAAAAAAACTCAAGTATGCAAAACCACAAACGACTGACTCTTAAAAGCCTCGAAATTCTGAACAAAATACGATAAAATGAAGAGGTCTCTGTAGGTACTTATTGTCCTCATGCCTGGAAGCATAATTTGATCTTTCTGTTTCTGACAACAAACATAGTAGAGGATGCCGACGAGATATTGAACTAAAGATCCTCAAATGCCAATTTGAACTTGTGAGCTGATGTGCTCAAATCAAGGAATCAGTGATCAAATTAACAATACTGTCTTACCATCATCATTAGGTTTTTTTTATTATCCCAATGTAGCATATAATCTCTCATCTTAGGATGATCTTAGTAACAAAAAACAAATTACCAAAGACCGCGCACTGTCTATTATTGCAATTTCTACTCCTTTACATCACGTTTTCGGTAGGGGGTACCGTTTACAAGTCCGCAGCCTCGTCGGATCCCCTGTCAGTCGGGTACTAGCATTAGTACTGCAAACTTTTCCATCTCTTTCGATCTAGCTGACAATTTGATCAAATTATTTAAAGGAGAAATCGGGTAAGCGGTTCTTTGGTTGTTTAATTTCCTTTCGTTATTACGCGCGCAACGATGGATGAGAAACATCAGGCCCCCGAGTCCGTCGCATCTGTAACTATCAAACCGGACTATCCACCATCTGAGTATTGTGCTTCTGAACCACCACCGGTAAGTATATTATGAAACATAACATAGATTATAAATTTCTAATTGACATATAATAGCTATAATATTAGAGAGTGCGCAGAGTTTTTAAATTTTGTTTAGGACTGACGTTTCGGGTTTTATAGTCTATCATCAATGTTATAGGTATGCATTTTTCGAACTTCGCCGATAGGTTGATGGTTATTCTAAAAGTGGAAGATGGTGGGTTCTAGGTTCACCCATAAATATTGGCAAAGTCGTAAGAGGCCGGAATTCGCAAAAGTGCCAACCGAAAACTGTAACCAGAAAACGACTAACTTTTTAGTAGTCGCAGGTAAATTTGAAGTCCCCCTCTGGCTTCGAGTCACCGCAAAATCGTGTACCTATATAAAAGTTATGGATAATAATTATTATTGTTTGTATTGAAACCAAGCATTTTCTATGACTTTATTTCACCTTCAGATAACTGCCTCGTCTATCAGTTTTGCAATTTTCAGGTAGGGTACTACTTTTCTGTACTATTTGACTATTCAAAATGTCCGCATTGGTGATGAAAAATTTTATTGGTGGTTCTCTTTAACGATAACATTACAGATGTTCCTATTTCAAAAACTATAACTAATCAGAAGATAATTATGCCGGCCAACAATAGCTTAAGCCATTAAAGGTCTTCTTGAAATTGAGTTTAGCTAATCAAGTGCCTTTTATCTTATCCATTTGTTGAAGTATCGCGGTATGCAATCTCATGTTTCACGCTATTTAGAAACTAATAAAAAACTAATTTAGGAAATCCGGCAGGCTTTTTGTAGAACGTAAATTCCTCGAAGTGTATTATTGACAAAAGGAAATTGGCTAATTCTTGTTTTACGAGCGAAGCCATGGATTTCTTTTGTTAACATGCTGGTGTACTCGGTTTCAAATTATATCGTCTGACTTTACTGTTTTAAATCATCTACACGATTGAACTTCATTGTTCAGATCCCAAAATAATCAAAATACAACAAATGACTTCACTTAAACGTCTTTCGAGCTTTTATGCCCTAAGAGAGCATTACATAATGTTTTATTGCAGTCAGTCTTGAGATGTTCTTTACCTAAAATAGTAATACCAATCCTGTTACATTGGTATTTAAAATAATTAGAACTTACATAATTTTTTCCTGTCCTATAGACAATAATGATCTAGCAATTTAAAATTTTTGTGGAAGATTATTAATTTTTTTTGCAAAGTACATACATTATTCATTCAAACAGAAAACAAAAACGGATTTGCAGAACACGATAGTTGAAACAGGATTTATGCTGATCATTGACTTGATTAGCAGGTTGGAAACAGAACAACGACGAAATAGGTTATTAAAAAAAAATGCTAATGATTGTTTTGCAAAATTGGCTTCTATTATGTAAGCCAGACAATAGAAGGTCTGATTATTTTTTTAAGTCAAATTTTTGAACAATAACATCCCATTACCTGTTTATTATGTTAATAGTATTATTAACTAAATTATTATTAGTAGCTTCTAAAAAATGGACTCACCTACATGTTACAGTCCCATCCTCAGCATTACAATATTCCTGGGATTGATTACTACATTATTCACTCTCTATCAAGTCTATAATTGAAAGCATGAAATATTTGATAAGCAAAAGCTAGATGAGGTACTATGTCCATCATTGGAAGCAGGATCTGCATAACTCTGAAGCTAGAAAGTCTACCTTTCAGCAAACCACCCCACTTTAAGAGCCTTCTCACATTACATTTACATGTTAAATCTATCTCTAGCTCTAGGATCTTATATTCTAATAAGAATCACATTCTTATAACACGCACCGTTAGTTTTGGTTGTTGCAACCCCTGCACCAATACCATATCAGTATAAAAAGAATCATTAACGGTCTTGCAACCTTCAGTTGATCTCACCAGTTGGAATATAAAGTGCTAACTTTCCTATGGAAAAAAGAATATTGCAAATTTGATATGATTCTTCTACATCAAAAGAGGGCATAATCAAACCGTTGTACACTAATGTCCCTTAAATTCGAGGTAGATTAGATTAGATTTGTTTGATTGGACATGGTGCAGAGGCGTCCTCTAATACCGCAACCTTGTCGGATTTATTGTGGTGTGTCCCTAGAGTAGGATAACCCTATAACATTCTTGTGGCTGTAGCATGGTACACTCAACCAAATAGTAGCATAAATAAAAAGAAGTTGTTCTTAGATTTAATGAACAATTCATTAAAATCGGTCCAAAGAACGGTTTCTTTGATTACATGAACTCTAGGTTATTGAAGTATGAACAATTTCTTAATTCCTATTTCGATTCATCTTGTGTATGAACAACGAACATTAAGGTATGTAGTAAGGTTTTTGTATTAATGAAACTTTTCATAGTAACAATAAACATCGTTCTTAGTTTATATGTACTTTTTCATTGTCCTGATGAACAGACGGCATAATATTAATGAAGCCCAGATATAATTTGATGAAACCCTTTCATTGTATTTATGAATCACAGTCTTGAATACTAAGAATTGCATTCATTATAATTAATAATGACGTTTTCAATAATATATACCATATTCTTTATTTTTATTAAAATAATTTCATGAATTATGCCTTAAATATACTTATGATTTTAAATGGGGTAAAGGGTCATTTTTTATATTTGCGTGTCCCTTGTACTGATGAATATGAGCAATAGGAAAAAAGCTTTTAATGCAAAAGTTGCATGGTTTCTTCGTATCATCTTCCAGAATTGTCAAACAAACCAATGAGCATCCCAAAATCTGAAAATTTAAAAATCTAAGTACCTACTTATGTATTTTTATTTTAAATGACACTAACCGTATATTCTATTATCTTTCAAATCCTCCTTAAATCCTGTTTCCATAAATATATATTATATCTATATTTGTTCCAGCTGTTTTTGAACTATCAACATCCAAAGTTTCTAAAACAAGCCACATCAGAAAATAAGATTTGATGCTTTGGCTGGTTTCCTTGCCTCGGCTATGAAACACTAGCTGCGGTATTGAATCTTCTGCTTTTCTACCTAGTGAAACAAAACCATTTAACAAAAATATATCGATTTGGGATTGAGTATACTTACTTTTAGAGACTTCAGTATTCCTTAGAAATTCTGAGGAGCTCTTGACGCTTTTGTCTTTCACGTTCTCCCCGGATGACATTTAAATCTGTAGGTCATTTCTTTCGCATTCCCATTTTGAGACTAGACCGTCTCCGTGCAAGGCATCCAAGTCCTACCTACATAATAGGTATACATATTATAGAGGTAATAGAGGTATACAACTTACCTTTAGAAAAAACCGGCGACAGGTATAATCGACTTTCTATTTAACACTTCGAACAACACAAAACCGAAAAAACCGACTTGAACGAAGTACGTAGCAGTGCACCCAGAAAATAGAAATGTAATTATTCCTATTTCAACATATTTTTCTATGTCGTTGCCCGACTGCAGCTACCTTTGCGCATGTGCTTAGGAACTGTCTACATTAATGCTATGAACTGTTTCATTGTATTTATGATTTATCTTGATGTAATGGTTGCAGCTTTGTTTCTAGGAATACTTGCTTGTTTTAAATGAACCGTACATTGTATCAATGAATTTCGTTCTTAAAAGGAAAATTTCATTTATTGTCAAATCTGACATTTCAACAATGAAATACTGGTTTTTTATTGTCAGTTTGGACCAATCAGAATACAATTACCTGATAATTTAGCTGCATCTAAAAAATAGCGATAATTTTAAAATTATCGATAATTTGCACATGTGCTAATTGCTGATAATTTTTTCTCAGGTATTTTTTCACCTTTTCTTTATATTTATGCCAAATGAATTTCAATATATTTTTCAAACGATGTTTGAAGGGTGCATTAAAACACGAATTTTTGGAAACATCTACCTATATTTGCAAAAATATTAAAAAGTGCTCTATACAATAATTAATTAATTGTTATTGAAATTATGACAATTAAAAACACAGTTTTCAAATTTAAATACTGCCTTCGAAGAATTATTTTCAGACATTACACTATTTGAAGTTGAAATCGTTTGCGCCGAACTGAGAACAGGGGAAGCATTACAATTTTGAATTTCATTATTGGCGGCGTTATGGTTTCCTCTCATTTTATGGATAATATCCTCATGAAAGTTCTGATCCAATTGTAAATAGGGTTTTATCGAATTAACGTTACCATGGCCAGTTATTTTTATTAATTGATTTTCGCCAACTCCAGATTTAGCCAAATGGGTTACGCTTGTAGCCCTATGTGAATGGTTAGTAAATTTAAATTTTTTGCTATTTAGGCCGGCCTTTTCTGCTGCAGTTTTTGTCCATTTTGAAATTTCATTCCTGCCAGCTGGCATATTTTTATACCATGTGCCACTTTTTCTCCATTCTGGTTTAGGTGTTAAGAAAAGTCTGTTGATCTTCACATTATTTCCTCTTTTGGAAATAAACAATTTGTACAACCTGGAAATAAATCATATTTGAATCAATAAGTTTACCTATTGAAGCACTTTTACTTACCTAATTGGGCATATGGCTTCATCGGCGTTGTTTCTGATAAGCCATTTACTGTCCGTTAGAAGGTGGCTACCACCTTGGCGTGTTTTCGAAAAAATTGGATTGTATTCAATCCTGTTTGTAGGTGTGCCATCGTGAAATTTTTCCATTTTAAAAAAATCAGTTGTGCAATTTGGAGCTTCGCCACCTCTAAAAGCCAGTTCAAATGATAAAACGTGGAACAACTTTTTTTGAAGCCTGTCGGGAGTATTTTCATCAAAAAGTTTGAGAATACTCAAATATTCTTCGGACGTGAAAGCTGAGGAACTTGTTTTTCTTTTGCTTGGATCACCCTGCAATTCTCGCCGTACGGCATCCCTGGCGTCTCTTGCTGCTTTGAATGTAATATTTGAGAATGGATCGAGGTTGACACCATATTCGCTATACTTCTGTTGAAGTAATTTGGCGGTCACATTCCACATAGTCTTGACT